CTTGAGCACAACCTCACATCTTCGATTGAGTGGCACGTGCACTGATCAAATATCAGCACGGCCTTATCAATATAACCAGTCTTAATTCTCATGTCGACAATATAAGGTACTACAACATCGTTGATGTATTGTATAAATAAGTCACTATTGATAAAACCATTTTTGCTATAACTGACGATGTTTCCCGTTTCCATCCAACCCAATTTCAAGAATTCAACTGCAACTCTTTTGTATTTTGTTACAATCATACAAGGAAGAGGTTGTGAGGGGGTAATAGTGCAAACGACAGTGGATCGAGCAATGTCACGTTCGACTCCATATTTCATTTTACTGTCTGTGGAAAAACCAGCAGTGAATACCCCCTTCACCATTTGCCTGTCTGGCCATGGCTGATACCCTGACTCATCCAAATTCAAAATAAATGGTGATGTGATGCCATTTAAAAAAGTGGCAGTGCAATGTAATACTTCAACACGGCATCTTCGTCGTAGGTCAATCGAGATTGGTCTTCAGCAAACACAGTAACAATCTAAAAGTTCCAAGTTTTGTGTATTTTATCATAAATAACATGGTTTGACACATCAACGTTGAAGGTTTTTATTATAAACAACCTCAAATGAGTTATGCTGATAGCTTTGCATTTTCCTGGAAACTTTTCATTATCAAGAATCAAATTCTTGACAGTTTCCCATTGTGTTTCAGTTAAAAATGACGGTCGTCCGTTATCTTTTTTTCCAAACAATGCCGTCTCCATACCTCTTCGTTTGTTGATATTAAACTGACTTGAAGATAAAGCAAAGACTCTACATAGTTTACTCTCGGTCACCTTTTCCGTATTCATTCCATTGAAAATTTCTCTTTCAATATTCATCAAATACACCTGAACATTCAGGGGCAATTCACAAAAGTTGCAATGTTTGCTGAATGTTCTTTGGGCTATTTCTTTCACTGTACCAGGACAATACTTTAGATTCTCTTCAAGTGTTGTATGGTCTAAGCCACTAAAAGCAACATTCCTGGAGCTCATAATTATATTATTTAGATTGTTTTTTTAAAGAAAAACATTTTTATTTAAAAAAAGAAAAACAAATATGTAATTTTTGTTGAATCCACAGGGTTTTCTCATTCTTACATACTTTTCTCACATACTGTATTTCCATTGTTTATATATTATTTCCTTAATATTGATTAGATTGAATCAAATAATACAATCAAATATACAATAATTTTTTAAGGAATTAAAGAAAATGATAAAAAAAAATTATAGATATTATTTATAAAACTATATTAATTAATAAAAACAAAAAGATATAAAATAAATAATTCCATTAAAATCGACAAAATATATAAATAATAAATACAATTTAATAAATATGAATATGGAAAAAATAAAAGTAAAAACAAATTTAATATATAAAGGTAAAAAAAATCTATCAATACAATATGTAAATATGTCAATCAGTAACATGATGGGTGGGTTTCTTGTTACTATTAAGTAACATCATACTTGTCATTTACATATATCCATTAAAAAATATATATATACAAAGGTTTGTTTTAATTTTTATTATTTAATTGAATAATTGTAGTTTTTTTTGGTTTTTTTTCATAATATATAAATATATAATTTTATATAATAAACAATAAAAATCAATCAGAATTACAATTAAATATAAAAACATACAATTTTATAAAATTGTTAATGATATTACAATTATCTAAGCTTTTTCAATACTATCATATATAAAAACGAATAAAATATTATATAATTAACACTTTCACAACCCAAAACTTTTTTTAACAAGAAAAACAAATAAAAAAATTGTCCAAATCTTTGTTTATTCAAAACCCCTTTCCAACACAAACCGGCCAATAGTCAGTTTTATTTTACTTAAAATAATTAACAAATTACAACTCGATTACCTAAGATGATTAAAAATAATCTTTTTGGA